TGTAATACGGCATGCGCGAATTCGGCTAAAGTCTCCTGCCTGAAATCGCTGTCAGCAGCTATCTCGCCCAAAGTTTTGGCGAGTTTGTGCGCTTCCTCCATGTCGACAGCGTGGGGTGTCGGCTTTTCATGATCATAAAGCTCAGAGAAAGGCGCCACGTCAATCTGTGGTGGTCTGCTCTGTTTGCCCAGTTGTTCGAGGGTTGGCTGACCCGATGGGGCAGCAGTTGTGGATGCATCAAAAGTCGGAGCAGGTGTCCGAACAGAGCTGGGGGGATTGTGCCGAAGTTGTTGGCGCGAGGATGTGCCCTGGCTTGTTGGGGGCTGCTGTTGTGCTGCTTGGCTGCCCTTGATGCGAAGGGCGATGCGCTGAACCTGCGAAGCCAATGTTTTTTGTGGGACCTTGGGTGGGGTAGGTGGCCTTTGACGTGGCTGTGTGGCTCTGTAATGCCACTTGTTGGCATCATCATCACGCACTGTAGAATAGCTGCGGAGCACAACCGAGGTCCGAGGAGGTGTCGATGAAGATCGCCTGGTGTCCCTGCGAGAACGGCTTCTGCGAGTGTCGCGGGATCGGTGGTGTCTGCGTCGGCGGTGCTGTCTGCCGCTGCTTGCAGGTCGTGCTCGGCTGCGTGTGTGTCGTCGACGTCTAGTGCTCACGGTGCGAGTTCTGCTGCGTGTGGGTGAGCGCCGTCGTCTGCGTGGCAGCGGAGGGTGATGGGGAGAAGTACGTGCTGCGAGCTGGTCAGTGTCTGCCGATCCCGTATCTGGGGGTGGTTGTGCGGGTGGCACTGTATTGACGGAAGGGGTGTTGGCTGTGTTTGTTGGTTGTTGTTGGGGCGTCATTGCCGGTGTCTGCGGGGCAGTGTGTGCAGCATCGGCAGTGGGAACACTGGTGGGGTGTGGTTGTGGAGCTTGTTGGATTGTTGTTGGCGGCGGTATGTGGGATTGTTGAACGGGTTGTGTGGGAGGGATGTTGCAAGGTGCAAGTTGGGGTTGTGGGGCAGGTGGTGTAAAAGGAAGGTTGAATGTGGTAGGTTGGGCCTGATGCTGTGCCAAAGCAGATGGGCTCATGGGAAAAGCTGTTGGATGGGTAGGCAAAAGAGCAGGGTTCATGAACGGGGTGGGGTGTTGTGACATGAATTGCTGGGGTGGAGGTTGTTGTGGCATCTGGGGTTGTGGTGTGCTGAGATGTGTGTAGACCGTCGGATGCTGTGGAATAGGAGCAGTGTGTCCACACGGCATCATGGGGAAGCCGTGCGTTTGCTCAACAGGAATCGTAGTGGGTTGTGTCGGCAGTGTGGGCTGCTGAGTGGCAGCAATGCCGGTTGGCATCATTGCTGGGTAGCTTTGTGACTGCGGTACCCAGGTGTTCTGGTGAAATTGATTAAGCACCGGTCGGGCTGTTGGTGCATATGGTGTTGCTGGTGGCTGCGCGGCAAAATAATCCGGCCACATAGCTACAACGAAGTGGGTGAAACAAACACAGTTGCACAAGCAAAGTGCAGGCTGTCCTGATTGTCCCTGCTGGACTGATTTGAGAGGTCGTAGACGGAGAGAAGGAAGAGGGCCGAGTACTCTCCGAAGAGAGCGCTGCTTCACTTGCTGTAGACATCTTTACCACGTCTGCACTCATGTCAGATGCACATGCCCTTGCAGTCCCTGAGGAATAAAGAAGCGGTAAAATACGGGGCAGACTAGAGAGGTAGCACCTGCTCACTAGACGCACTTTACTGCATTAGCCGTCCCTTACTGCACCTGCACTCATGTCAGACTCACATGCGAGCATCAGAGAGAGAGAGATAAAGTAGCATCTGGAGAATCTGAACGATCTGAACGAAGGCTGAACACCCGGTTCATCACCGGTCTCCCCGGAGGGTCACCACGGCGCCATGACGGAAAGCCGTTGCTCTGGAGTCTCATCGACCCACGCTGATCACACTGATGGATTCGGCCAAGAGTACGAGTGCAAGAGGAAAAAAGAGAGGCATGTTGTTCATGTTGCAAAAGCTTGTCAGATTGTGGCAACCGTACAACTTGTTTGTTGTCGAATCAACCGCCAAAAGTGGCAACTGAAAACTCTCTAATCTTGGCACAGGGGCCTTCTAATCGGGCTGGCACAGGGGCCCCAGCTCAATTTTGTGCAGGTACACAGGACTGATCAGGTCCCGCTTCCCACTTGCATCCACAGCTTCGTTGAGTGTGGTAGGACGCAAGTGCCACACTCCCCTGCAACAGTTGATTTGGTAAATGTCCAATGTCTGATTAAGTTGAAAAGCAAAAATTGCAAACAGTGTAGGAGTGACCCTCTGCTCCCATGTGCTAGGGAGGTTCACACACACACACACACACACACACACACACACACACTGCTAGGAGCTTGTAAGCCCTGCAACATGCTGCTAGCCCACTTCCACAAGAGCAAGAGACCCTCTTCTCTTTTCCCGACCGGCTCTGGCCAACTGGCCGAAGGTTGATCCTTGCTGATGACGCAATATAGCTCCTCAAGAAAGTCTGGCTCCGTGTTTTTCCCCAATGCGAGTCTCCAATGAACCAAGGTCCTAAGGTGTGCATAAAATGGTTTTTGCTATGCGACAACACTCGCTTCATTGAGAATCAGGCCTGGTGCCAAGCACGATGCGTTCAGAACCCTCCACGAGCGATACAAACCCAGGACTGATCAACTGACACCATCATCATGTTCCCTTCCCGCAGTGCAACCAATCTAACTACCATCCTCACACTAAGCCGCAGCTGACAACTTTCACTGCTTGTCCGTGCACGTGTCGCGGCTGAAGTATAGGAATTCTTGATTGGGCACCTGTCGGGATTCTGAGCCTCATACCCGTGCAAACTCATGTGGTCATAGTACGGCTGCATGTGGTAGTACATGCCAAAGCAAAACCTCAGCTTCCAGGCCACACAGAGGCGGAAAGCCGTGTGCCAAGTTTTGCCAAGCGACATAACTGGCAGATAGAGCAAACCTGACTTGACACAGGTCTGGAACACAGTGTCTCGCCGTCGCTATCCTGTCTGCTGTTCACCTACCCATTCAACCAATGGTTGGAAGGCAGTTCAGGCCTGGGTCAACGAGGCCCAATCATGTGCCTGTAGAAACCTACCCGTGGAGAGCAACGGGGACCTGCAAGACTAAATCTGTGGCAGCCTGATGAAACACTGAAATTCGAGGATTATCACATATTCATTCACACTGCAGGCAGGCTTCTTGTGAGGCTGTTGATCAGAAACATCCAGAGCAGGAAGGTCGTCGATCCCATCTCCTGACGGAACAACGCTCCGTCAAAGGGGAACCCAGGGTGAGATGATCCTCTTCAGCAAGCCGGTCCCGGGTCCTTCTCTTGTGAGGGGAAGTAGCTCATTGCCATGTACATCCTAATCAGGAGCAGTGCAAAGAAGGGACATCCGCAGACTGCATGAACCTCTCATGTTCATGCTCTCCCACGTGCTTCTAAGGCATGCGGTACAGTGGGCGTTTGAGAAGAAGTGAATCTCACGCCAGGGTGCTCAAAGAGGATCATGACAAAAGCCATGCCGCTCGAAAGCTGAACATAGAAGGGACCCCAAAGCAGCGTCCATAACCTCAGAGTGAGAGAGCTTGAGCGGAAATTCTGAGACAAGTTACCAGGAATTGCGTGCTAATGAGAATGATCTGCTCACGCGTAAACACCCACTGGATTACATTTATGGACACACTGGGCTGCCAGCTTCAGTTCCATCAAATTGGCCTTGGAAGGAAAGCCAATTTCCAGTGCGAGAGTCTGCAAAGATGCAAAGTCGACCCTCCGCAGAACTCGGATCACCTACATAGCATGCCACAACTTACGTAGTGTAGTAGCACTCTCATGTTGGTGCTAGCCGTACCGTAGCCCGGCAGACGCAGCTGGAGAACTTAGATCATCGCATCTTGTTGCTGCGATTGGAGAGACTTTAACTCACACAGATACCTCCTACAAGCTGAAGAATTGGCGTGCAGGGTCACAGTTTCCAAGAATGCTCTGCAACATGACCGAGTGCTCGAAGCCGTGCAGGCGAGCTGCAATGCTGCAGCTGAAGAGACTGTCCACAAGCCAGGCAGAGGTTTCCGAAGCCGATGCGATTATGTAGATCACGAACGACATCACTGGATAGCCTCTGCCAAAGGTCACGCATCTGCTTTCGTCTCGAGGCTGGTGGCATAGCAGCCATCATGACCTGGCCTGCAACGACCATCCGCGTCAGCATCGGACATTCTGCCCACAGTGGATAAATAACCTGCAACTGGCTGGAGAAGGAACCTCAATCTTCTCCATGTCGCTACATCCGCACTCGGTGGCGGCTGAACTAAACGACACGATGCCCCATTCCCCTGCAATCATGCCAGCACGACGTTGCCCATGGATCGCTTGGCTGCTTAAACCAGCTAGCACGGCACCTGAAACTGAAGCTGCCAGGGCATCTGGCAGAGCTGGATGCTCGTTGTGCTGCGGCACTTCTTGCAAACACCAACCGAGATTGAATGATTCAGAGTGCAAAGACCTTTGCAATACATGCTGGCAGCTGGGGGCTACGGACTCTTGAATATGATGGATATACACATCGACGATCTCGGGTCGGGCCGCTTGGAAGCTCGTCTGCTCACGTTGCTCGTCGGAGATATGCCTCCCTACGCTTGAGCAAGCTGAGCACGCATGCAATGCAATGCAGCTCCACACCAGAGTTGGGTTCCTCTTATCTGCAGCCTTGCACTGCAGTCGGGCCAGGCATGGCCAGGCGCTTCTCGGATCAGAGTTCGCTCGAAACGTGACGATAGATCGAGAACTTGAACGAAAACATTATTCACTTTAAACTCACTGCTCATGCAGGACACCCGCACCGTCGGAGGAATGCACGTTCGTCCTGGCCCTCAACATCAGCTGCGCTTAAGGCATGAAAGCCAGACTAGCAGCTCAACAGCTGAACTCGAAGGGTTGAGATGTGACAGCCCTGCGAGCGTGTTTTCCCTCACCGAATGCTCGCGAACTGCTGCAGCTCGCGTGTCTGAAGTTTGAGAGGACACACCTGGGAAGTTCAGCACAAGCACCCGGGTGAGATGGTACTGGTACAACTTCAATCTCACAATCACCCCGAGTCCCACCTCTCTAGGCGCATCCGCACCGGAGCGCATCGCACTTCGGGGGCCCAGCACCTGGCTGAGGCTGAGCAGTACTCGAAACTCTAAAGACGATCTCCGACCTTGATTTGGCGGATGTGCGTGTCGCGCCCATTCCTAAGCGCAACACCACTTTTACCAGGGCTGCTATCGTCGATTGTTTCCTTCCACGACGAGGTGCTGATGGTTGGTCAGCACGGCCAACCTTAGAGCCGCTGCATGCAAGATTTGTCAGACCGTTCAAGAGGGAGCCCTGTATCGTCAGCCCAGGCTGCTGGATGAAATGCGTGCGGACAAATTCTCGAGCACCGCCCATCTCGCTGTCGCGCAATGTACAGCTTGGTGGCAGTTCCTCACTGAAGACATGAGCATGGAAAAGATAGCAATGCATCCGCAACAGTGTACGCCGAAGCCACCTCGCCAATGGCATGGAGCATCACTCGTCATATCCAAGGATTGAACTGAAATTATTTGTCCCGGAGTATGGCATGGACAGAATCGCCCTCGCTTCGCTAGGCCGCCAAGCGTCCACAGGTCGAAAGCTCGGCTTGGCGAGAGGTATCGTGATCCAGCCTCACAGGAACTGTCGTTTCCTTCCATGTTTTCAGTGCATGAGACGATTGTGGATAAAACTAAACGGGCGCTTTCGAAGCCCCTGCTTGGGCAGCAATATGTTTCGATGCCCACATCCACAGGAGGTCCCTTTCTTGGCATCGGGCCGTCGGGCTCTTTCAGCTCCACCACCTGGACCTGCTAGCAGCTAGCAATTGCATGTACAGTTCTGCCGGAGAAGCTGGTGGAGGTACGGATTATGGTCCTGAAAACTTTCCTGCTGCTTTACAAGCACGATACCAACGTACGATGGGCACGCCTCTTGTAGATCGTGGTGTGCGGTGCCTATTCTGACCGATATTCGTGACGGTGTGTATGACCTCGGAGCTCAGCGCCAAGGCTTTGAAAGTTCCGGCTGATCACGATTGGCATGTGGCTTGGGGCGTGGCTCGTCGATCTTGAAACACACATAGAAACAGATTTCGCTGACCTTGACCTGTCCGAGCAAGGTAAGCCTAATTAAGTCCAACCGCCCTTGACACGGCCTTGCGCTGGAACTGTATGTTTATCAGGTGCGGCCTCAGGTGCACTCTAGCTGCTAGCTACAGCGTTGCACTTGCCCGGTGCTGATTCTTAAGTCCTCGGGACAGGACTGGGGTCCGTCCGACTGCCAAAAGGTGTCAGTGCTGCCATCACGAAGCTGCTCCACTCCTGAGCTTTGCGGGACAATCGTGCTGCGACAAATTAGGCCAGCTATGGGAATAATGGTATATTCCTGATTATGGGTAATGCAGGATCAACCGTGGTCTCGAGATTTAGCCTGTCGAAGCCCTTCCGGCTCCACCGAGACGTTGGGGCTCCAAATACTGACGCAGAGGCCCTCAACAAGAATACAAAAGCATCCACAGACCCTAAACGTCTTCTACAAGCCCTACAGTAAAACCCCGAGCTCCCGAACGAGTTAAATCAGCAAGCCTTGAGCTCAAGACCGTAACTCCTCAATCGCTGAGATGCGGTCTGGGGGGGTACGAAGGGAAGCGGGGTACGTGAAATGACGACAAGAACCGTCCAGACCTGTCAAGAAGAGCAGGGCAGAAGCCTGCAATGTCCAATCTTTGCCAGGTGTCCGTTTCCTTGCTTTGCGGAGGAGAGTGACCAGGCCGCCTCTGGGCCCAGGTCCCGAAAGTCCTCGCTGGGACTCGCCGCAGCCGAAGCGGCCGCGCCCGAAGCGGCGCCCGAAGCGCCCGCCGAGGGGCCCTGGCCCTGACCCTGGCCCTGGCCCTGGTGGCCAGCCGGACCCGGGCCACCTGCTGGACCCTCCGACATTCTTCCGCCGTTTTAAAGCTTTGTCGCTTCATGAACCTGGGCTTCTTAGATGCCTCCAACCTAGCTCACCCTGAGGTCTCGCTCCGTTCAGCGTCCTTCTGACCATTGTTTGGATCTGATACTCTTGTGAGCCGCAGGGGTGCGAAAGGGTTGTCTGGCAAACCTTCCCTTCATACTGTCGCGCAGCTCGGCAACATGGACTGTCGGCGTCGGCTTCGACCCCAGCTGGCAGTCCTTTTACGGATAATGTTTGGTCAGACGACAAGCCCTCGATAGGGAAGGCTGCAAGCTGGGCTTTATTCCCCCTTGAAGGGCTCCGAGCACACGATCTTCAAAGGAGGACGACATGGAGCAGGGCACTGCGCAACTCGCATGCAGTCTTCAAGCACAGAGGGCTTGGTCTCCCTCGCTGGTCTCCCTCGCTGTAGGTTGCTTGCTTTCGGCTGGGGTAGAATTGCGTTGTGAAAGTACGAGGGTCCCAGACTTTGCTCCTGAATGCAATTGTCTAGGCAACCTGGCATGTGTTGACAGCACAGGCGCTGAGGCAGATGTTGCATGCCTACAGAGGACAGGACCCCAGCAGTTGCTGGCACTTGTCTGCTCTATGACTCTATGACTGCCTCTACAAATCTCACGATCGGCAAGGGTCCCAATAAGGCAAGCCTGGCATCAATGCTCGAAAAATCTGTCAGGGGGCTCTGCACGCATTTGCGGCAGCGAGAACTGATTGGCCCCGCTGAGGTAATGCAGCACAAATCAGCTTTGCAACCTGCACTTCTTGTCTGCAGGTGAGACCAACAGAGCACATGTTGCTATCGTCTGCTGCAGCCCTCACAGGACATTCTCCAAGCTCGTGAACAGTCTTGGCTACTGCTTAGGGCTGCGCGGGCTGCAAAGAGCTACTGCATCTGAAATCACCAAGCCGTGGGCATCTCATGGCCGACGGCTCTGTAAAGAAACGCGGGGTACACATCTATGTTTCAGATTCCAGGATCAACGACATATCAGGTGTTACTGCTGTGAGCACTCGGGTTCTGCTTGCCCTCTGCAAGCTCCCAGATGCCGATCTATATCTTTACATGGCAAACTAATGTCCTACAACTCAAATCATCTCTGCGGGAACTGAATGCCTGCCAAAAGCCAGCCGTGAGTTCAGCCGCAGCAACTGCAGGACTTGAGCTACGCTTGCTACATGCTGCGGGAACATGCTGCCGCAAGATTGATTGTCCCAGCCTGCGAAGAACTCCTACAGAAACACTTTTCGTCATCACAGATGCAAGGAATCCACCTGAATGAGGCACGCACTGTTGTTGTAGCTGGTATGTGTATAGTGTATGTGCGGGTTCTCATGTGAAACAACACCTGCGGCTATGACGGTGCTGCCTTTCAGCTAACGGACCGGAAAACGAAACAAGTTGCTTTCACCTCGGCCAGGGCACATAAGAGTCCCAAGTGCCATCCCACTCGCTCGGCGGCGGCACTTCAGCCAAGGTGGTGCAGCGCTTGGCCATCCTTCGCACGAGTTCATAATGCTGACACTCAGAGCGACAACGGCGCAGCACTCCAAATCGTGCAGCTCAGGCTCAAAGAAGATGGAACGTCATCTTCCCCGTTAAAATCAGCCAGGATGGTGTTCACCTGCTCAAACTTCCGTGCCGCGCTGGAAAACCTCGGAAGACACGAAAGGTTTCCCGACTAGGTCGCTCCGAACACTGGGCTGTTTTTATAAGGCAGCCGACTATGTCCAAAAGTCGCTCTGATATCGCTGCTAGCATTTTCTTTCCGCGAGTGCGGTGCAAGCCAAGTAGCTCCTTGCGCCTGTACTCGCAGATTCCCTCCGCATGCAGCGAAATGATTCGCTTTAATGGGCTCGATGGCCTTGGCATTCACTGCTCTTCGGCTCAAAGACGATTCACACCCAGCTCATCGCTGGCACGCTTGCATCTAAGAGGCTTTTTCGTTTTCATCGGCATTACCTAGCAGCTTGTTTTGTTGAGTAGGGAGACATGATGCTGGCGATCGGCTTTCACCACTCGTGCGAGGATGCAGCGCTCGACGGTCGTGCATGATGTTACTAAGATCATCTCACTTTGCTCAACTTCCTCGAGCACGTATTGAATGGAACGCAAGCCCTGCCTCGTGCACAAGTTCGCTCGTGTCCTTCTCCTGTACCTGCATCAAGCTTTGAGGTACTTCTGCATCAGACTGTCACGACACCCACTTAAGATGCGCTTCAACTGGTCTCACTTACAGACATGGAAAGCCTGCCCACTCCAAGGGTGACTCATGCCACGCTGTGTTGGACAGCTCTGCCTGTCTTAGATTCACGAAGTCCACGGGGCGAATGAAGAATTCACTCGGATCCAGCATCTCATAAGTGCTGTCCTGATGTGGCATGCACCCGAAGATATCGAGAACCAGTTCATTCCATTCAGCTCTTAGGTAAGCCGGGCGCTGGCATCAGCTTGTCATGGCCAAGCATCCGATATCAGTATCCGCGTCTTGTACGTTTTGTTCATCTCCTGTCACTGCCAGATAGAGAGGCTACGGCTAGGGAGTCCACGTCTCTAAGACCAATCAAGGCGAACCAGAGCTTGCCAGCCTCTAGCTTGCCTGCAATGGTGGACTCTTCGCCTTGGCTTCAGAAGACATCGGATCAGGGCTCGCTTCTGAGACCTTGATGCCGTCAGGTTGCCCACGATGCCGTACTTCATGCGGGAGGAGAAGCCCATGTTGCCAACAAGCACATTGCCAGTGTGAATTCCACACCTCAGACTCACATGCTGCGAAAACGCGCAACGCTTGCAGAAGAGCATAGAAGAGCACGGCTGTTTTGCTGGTTGGCCAGAGCTGCGCTTCATCGAGCGAGAGAATCACTTCCACCAAACGTGTTCCTCGTTGCAGCACCGCAAGAGCTGCCAGGCCTGTCTCAGGCTCCAGGTTAACATCTTCTTCCGCACCATCGCCGCAGCATCTCTTGCAGTAGTCACCTTCTGTCGCTGCAACTTGTCGCAGCGCCGATGCCATAGCTCGGCATCCCGCATGGTTGCCAGTCAAGTCTCCCTGCCGATGCAGCCAGGGTGCAAGAGAAGGTTCTTGCTCGCTTGCAGTCATGAGTGCAGGAAAGTCTGCCGAAACCGCAGACTCCTCCAAAGCTTCCGCTGTCTTGACCATCCAACTGCTGTCTACTTTGCCACTGCCCGGTTGGGAACTCAGTTGCTGCAGGAAAGTATCGTGAAGCTCTGCATGAAGCTGCCGCAGCTGAGGCTCACAGCTGCTCTCCAAAAGCACTATGGAGGCCGCCGGCATGCCACCGTCAGCAGAAGCCGCCCAAAGCTCCCAAAACGGATCCACAAGCTCATCGGCTGTACCGCTCTGGTGGGTCTGGTGCGGCAGCAGAGGCTGGCGATAACCCAGCAGTGGGAAGACGAAGTCACATCGTGAGCACTCTCGATCTACCAGCTCTACTCGAAGCGCATGCCTCGCTTGCCACGGAGGTACCTCGGGTGTGTCAATCGCCGAAGGGAGTGCTGGTAGTCCATGCAGGACCTCGGCTTCGAGGTCCTTTGCCAAAGCATGGAGTAGCCGTGCAGGGAGGCCACCGACTAAGAGAAGTCCTTCAATACGGCAGAGCTCAGAAACCGCATCCGAGACCTCTCCCGAAACGAGTAAGGCCTCCGTACCGCGCTCTGCCAACGTGCGAATCGCTTCCGACACCTTCTGCCGTTCGCGAAGACTAGATGGCAAAAGGGTGCCTGAATTCTGAAAGACTTGCTCCTTCGTTCGTCGCTGCGGTGGGGCACAAGAGTCATAGGCTGCAGAGACAAGGTCTGCGTCCAAGCAAACACTTCGGAAGAACTGCTTTCTTACCGCCGCCATCTGCGTAGCATTCGTGACTTGACACATGATGCCACTGGGGCCAGACACAAAATGTTGGGGCACGCGGCAAGCAATGCCTCGGAAAAGTCGCATCGTCGGCTGCCGCACCAGCTTCTGACGTCCGTAAACAAAGCAATGCTGGCTCTCTACAGGGCCACGGTGCCTTCGACACAGCTCTGCGCAGATGTCATTCACGTCGCTCGCGCTGGGATCATGGCACGCCGCTACGCTGCTGCCTGGTTTGCAGGCTGCGACACGCACGTCGGAGTCTGTCTTATGTGGCTCTTCGATGGCAGTGAAGAACCAGCTCACATCGTCTTCGTCCCCAAGTCCGGCGATATCGTTCTCCGCAATCCGGATCTTGCACGAGCTCGGCATGCCAACTCGTAGTTTCTCAATGGCTGTTTCCGCCGTGACAGCAGCACACCTTAAACCGCTTTGCAACGTCCAAACTGAAAGGCCTGACCTGCGCAATGCAGCTGCTTCGGCCAGGAGTGCAGCACCCAAGACCACAAGTCGGGCCTGTTCCCGGCGACCAAAATGTGCGGCTGCTAGTCCATCCATGGCTTCGCGCAAGAGCTCCACAGCCACCATATCCAAGCCGTGTGCATCCACCACTTCCGCCGGATCGCAAGAGAGGACCAGCTCGTCTTCACACGCTGAAGACACGATCTTGAAGGCTGACTGCTGGGGAGATGCTGAAAATGGAAGTACAGATGCTGCCAAAGTCTTCAACACCGAAGCACAAGAATCCAAGGCATCCCACGCGTCGCACTCCCGCATACTGGACTTCCAGAAGAATCGCACCCCAAGAGGGAAATCGCAGTCAGAGCAGAAAATGTCTTGGGACAGATAAGGTGCGATCGACGGCTTTCCTACTAACCCCCGAAATCACCTCACCGGAACAAGAGCTGGAGATGGACTGCGCAAAACTCCATCTAGAGGAGGACACACTCATCAAATGAGCTCAAGTTCCCGAGACTTTTTGAGAGCGACACCAGAAAGCCCCTTGAATGAGGTAATGCCCTCCAGGGGCCTCACCTGATGTTCACTTCAGGGAGGCGGTGCTCCCGGCACCAGTCCCGGATGCGCCGGAGGGCCCCAAGCATGCGCAGGGCAGCCTCCAAAGCTGAAAGGGCCTCTTGCATCACTAGACATCTTCAGTCACTGGTTCCTGCCGGCCTCCACCGCCAAGGTGGGATGGCGCTCGTTTTCTAGAGGTGCACCGTAGATACACTGGATCGCATCACCGATGAACTCCAGCACAACCCCGCTGTGATCGTCGATGACCTTCATAAGATCGCTTCGCATTAGTCCGTGGAAGGACTCAAATACCCTGCTACTCTTGATCTGTTGGAGCCTTGGACATGTCATTGAAGTAGCGGCTGAGAAGAACCAGGCAGGCAGCCGGCTCGATGCTCTCCACCTGAGCTTGGCTCCGGTGAGTTTCGGGCCCCACGCAGCCGTCAAAAGGATTCAAGAGGCGATAAGGAGATTCAAGCGGGCTGCTATCGTTGTGAAGTTGGCGATGTCAGAGAAGAACATGGTTACCTAAGCAAAGTCGTGCAGAGTCGAGGGCGTCGCACAGAGCGAGAGATAGCGAGAGCAAGGTGCCTTTCGCTCCCTCACCTCCAGCTTGGCCTCCTCGCCATCTCTCAGAAGCAGCTGCACAACCTGGGGCCATAGAACGAAGATTCCTCTGCCTGAGGCATCCTACTCCTACGCCGAATCTCATCTCTGAACAAAAACCATTGACTACTGCATCTGGGCACTGGCAGTGGAACGTACTTGCCCCACGACCGAACAGCTTTCTTCATGTTGTCGAAAGTCCTGCCAACCCACTAGTCACGCCAGTCCGCTAGTCGGTTCGCACAATTCTCAGCGTTAGAAAGCGCCCGCGCAGCCCCGCCACACCTCCTGATGAGAAGCACCTCGCTAGTCTCGGGCTCCCCCCCAGCCTGCACAGTCGTATACAAACCTGGCACCCTGCAACGAACCTCGGCCTTCGGCCTTCGTGCGCCATGGACACTAAACACCCTGCCGCAGCCACATTTCACAGTATCGGCGCCTCTTCCTCGCTTCCTACGCCGGCGAACTGCGCGATGCTTTCCATGTCATCGGCAAGATCACGCAGAGGCCTCCCGGGGGTGCTTCGCTGCGATTCGGACCGAGGCCCACACACTGGGCCCCCCCCGCTTGGTTGGGTCGGGTCGGGTTCGGCTTCCGCCTCAGCAGATGGTGGGAGAGGAAAGTCAAATCCCTGGTCAGCAAGACAATTCCGGCGAGGATGATGACAATGACCTGAGGGCAAAAGGAAACAGCGGCCTGCTAGGCAGCTGCACTGAACGCCAAAATGTGAACACAGAGAAAAAGTTCCGCAAGGTTGCGGAGGCCGTAGTCAGGAGCGACATCCACGCCTTCCAACATCACTCGCATTTCACAGAACTTCTGCTCGCTGTGGCTTGTTTTCTGTACGAAAACACTGGTGGGTCTGCGGCTGCACAACTAGGAGGATAGACCGTGCCTCCGTCGATGTTCTCGCACGGTCAAAAATTACCGCAATGGCAGTTGTCCGAAGCCTAGTAAAGTGGATCCAGGAAAGTGCAAGTTAAAGTCATTGCACAACTCTCAAAGTTCTCACTATGCACCAGAACGGCTGAGCTGCTCTAACTCTTCTGCAGAGACTTCACTATCAGAGAAGTCCTCAGTTGAAGCACTCTTCCGACCAGTGCATCTGCAGGCACGCACCAGAAACCCTACTTATGAAAAACGAGTTACTGGGAAGCGAAGAAGCACCAGATCCACTTGCCTGACTCTGCGCAACACATGGCTAAGCCATGAAGCTGTCCCGAGTGATCGCCCTTACTCTTGAACTTAACTGCGTTTCACTGTGTGTCAGAAACTCGTGTGCCTGATTCCAGTGTTCCTCACTTCGTCGTCCAAGTCATTTAGAACGCGCCGAGGCCCGCTGAAGGATTGAACGGAAGAGCAAGAGTCACCTGGACACATCCACCGCACAAGCAAAGGCATCAAATCCAAACTGCATTCTGGCCAGCCTGAGGATATCTCATCGCAGTACACCTCCATTGACAAATCGCTGGAACATGCTTCAATGTTTGGGCTTATGCTTGGTATGAGGAACTCGCCTTCTTGTCCAAATCTAGATAGAGCAACGATCTTGTGCCGATGCTCTTCTCCATCGCATGAAGCCACACCTGCCGGCTCCCCGCAAGACCAACAAGCCTCCTGTCAGCTGTGATGCTCAAGGCATCACAACACCCTGCCTCAACCTGTTCTTTGACAAGTTCAGGCACTTCAGCATAGTCTGGGATGTCGGGAAACTCTTGTCGAACCTCAGATGTCCGAATGCGTATAGGTGCCTTGCATGGCCAAGCATCTTACTTAATACTCGACTTGCGACACCAAAGCCTGTCCGCATTGCTGAAGGGACAGGCCTTCCGACAGTTGGGGAGCCCCTTGCCACTAGTGCTAATGAACCTTTGCAGCCAAGGCTGCCAACTTGTCGCAGAAACCCAGGCCACGAAGTGCCGAGTTGTTCGTCACCGTAGGTTCGATGATGTTGAGCACGAAGAGAAGCCTCGGATGGGCCCGGGGGGACGATGCCAGCTCTGTGAAGCGAAGCGATCAGAAAATTTCTGGGCCAGGGGACGCCAGAACACCCAGCGCCACCTGGACGGCCACATATTCCTTAGCCGAAACGCCAAAACTGGACAGTCCGGTCCTCCCCACGGGGCCCTCCTTAAACTTCTGCAACTTCAGCCAGATCTCTGCGTGCCGTGAGGTAAGGTTCTTCATGTTGCTCGCCTGCTTAAGCTGCTGCTCACAGGAGCGGCGGAGCTTCTCTTCCACCCATTTGTCTTCCAACATCAGCTCTTTGAACGCCTTGGGAAACAGAACAGCCACGTGCAAGCACAGCCCGTAGCGTTTCAGAGTGTGTCTTCCTTCGGCTGCATCTGCATGCTGCGAGTCTGTTGCAAGCCAAGCATCCTGGAAATCAACAAGACCCAGTTCCTCTTCCTCCTCATCCGGCGTTTGCTTTGTTAGCTGGGATGCCGTGCTCGTTGCCAGACTCACCTGCCGAACACGAAAGGACGGCAGCGAAAGTGTGGGACCCTGGCTTGAAAGCTTGCAGTCAGGGCATCAACTCCCATAGCGAGCTCCGGCAAATGGCGCGCCTTCATCCTGGCCTGCACTGTGTGCGCCCGGCTGAGCGGCGACCGCCGACGAGGGCCTCAGCTGAGCGAAGAGCCCCGTTTGACATCTTCTTTTGCGATCTTTTGCGATCCTGCGCACTGAAGACTGCCATCGTCAGAAAGGCACATCTCTGCATCCCGGCTGCTGGCATGGCTGCTTTCCGGTTTGGGCGGAATGCTCTGATTCTCGCTGCAACAGGGCGTTGGAAGCGCATCCAATGGACCTGTGGCAGGCAGCGTGAGTTTGCTTTCTTCTGCAAGTGACAGGACTTCAAGGACCTGGTCCGGAAGTAGCTTGCGATGGATTGGGCGATTCTGGCTCGAAGTCAAACTCCAGCCGCTGTGATGCCTTCGACCTGCCAGGTGCATTCCTTGCATCCGTGACTTTCTCAGCGGCAAAAGGAGTCGGAGCTACGGGTACGTTCAGTTGCAACAATCTGTCTGACTGTCTGTTCCGAGCTTCGAATCACATGCAGATTTGGGATTCTCCACATGAGGATCAAACCCATAGTCGCAAGCTCTGCCTGGCACCCTCGGAGACGTGCTCTGACCGGTTCGCCTGCACCGGCGGTATCCGAGCGAGGACAGTGCCACCCAGGTCCCTTCTCGGAAGTCTGAACCCGCAGCCGGCACAGCCTTCGTGCCCAGACGTCTCATGGCACCGAGCGTGCTCGCAACCTGTCAGCGCACTTGCGGCTCTGGCTCTGCTGCACAAATCCAACGAATGGGCAAGGGCCTTGGACTTCATGAGGTTCACAAGGGCGACCTGCTCGTCTGACGCATCTCCTGCCTGAGAGGACACTCTAGACTCTACACTGCATACGTACGGACGGAGCGTAGAGCAAAGTCAGCGAAGTCAAAGTCGAGCCTTAAGCTCCGCCACCACGCTCGGCACTGCGTCACGTGAGACCAGCCCATCCATATCACTGTCCAAAAAGTTGAAGACTCGTCTCAACCTTGGCTCTCGCTCTGGCATCCTCCTCGAGCTCGGAAGGCTACTGTAAGCCGTCCGCTTCTTGTCGAGGACACGATTTGTGTCGTTGACTTTGGCGCGCTTGGAACCTGAAGTGCATCCCAGTGCTGCGAGAGAGTTTGGTTGCGCGGCTCCGAGTGGACAAGATAAAGCTCTCTTGTGGATGGCAACAACCGGCTCAAGGCGGAAGAGAAGACGGTGCGGAGATCTGTTGCGTCCAGGTCGCAAACTTTGCCAAGCCTGCAAAGTCTTGAGTTTCCATGTCGTACCAAAACCTAAACCTCCAACAAAGGCTTGACCTAATTGCGAACCCTGACGGGCGTGCCTTGGCATCAGAGCGGCCACGCGGACGATGCGGGTCAGCCGATTCAGTCTCGTCGCCTGCGAGAAGGAACACGAACTCTCTACAGATACTTATGGACAGAGTGTGAGGCACCGGGCCTTCGAGGAACGTGAGGCAACTCGCAGCAGCCTGGCCGAATGTCAAAGGCTGCGCATGCGAAAGGCAAGCACCGCACGGACTGAAAGGTTCGAATTTGTTCCCGGTGATGTTTCAGACTCCATTGCAAAAGCATGAAGAAGCTCGTCCAAAACAGCCTACCTCGCCAGACGCGAGGACCGGCCAGCAACAAAGGCCTCCAGGAGTGCACTGCACAGGACACTTGAGGTCGCAAGCTGCAGGCTGAGTGGCATTCGGTGGGTATTGCAAGCGCGATTCTACGTCTGCGGTCGTGTCTGTGCCTGGTTGGACTCAAACACGGCTTTGAAGAGCCATGTGTCCGGCAGCAGCGAGATCAAGGCGATCACATCCAGCCAGAAGTATGCTCCAAAAACATACCTGAGGTCACATTCCCGATGCAATTTGCGACTGAACGGCAGATCCAGCATTGTACCAGGTGCTGCAAGCCACCCCTTCTTCCCGAAGCACTGCACGACGATCTCAATGAGGAAGAGGAAGCAGGCAACGGTCATCACCACACCTTGCATTGCACAAGACGGGAGAGCTCTCCGCTCTCCGATATCTACACACTGAAGATATCTCCCCCTTTTTCAGCTTACATGACCTCAAAGCCGAGGAGCTCAGGAGCTGCTGGGTCTCCGCGGTGCCCAGGAGCAGGTCGAGATCCGGGACGAAGAGGGCGAAGAGCGTGAGCACCATGAAACCCCCCACGAAACACTGGTTCTCCACCTCATCGCAGGAGGTGACCCCGCAAGCACCACAACTCTCGTCTCTCTGGCAGCCGGGTAGCGAGTCGATGAATAAAATCCTGAGTGTCCGTGCAAGGCCGCTGCAGATGCCGCAGTTTGGGATCAGGCGAGGCGCCTTCTTCTTTGAAAGCTCTGCCAACTCCACCGGTTCCCTGACCTTTCTCCTCACAGGGCTTTGGCAAATCCCAACCCTGTTTGTAGAGAGCCCTTGGACTTAGAGGTCTGCATGTTCTTCACCTTGATCACCTTCCTAGCCCCCAAGCACTCGGCGGTGAGGCCGTGTAAGGCTTATTGAAGCTTTTGTCTCGGGTCCAGCAACGAGACAGCTGCTGCAGATTTGATCATCCGTCTGAGAATCTGGAGTCTCGGCGTGCCAGGCTTGTGGCTGCTGAGGGAAGCCTCCAATCTCTTGCGTCCGATGACTTCTTCGGTTTCGGGCATTGCCAGGGACATTACAGAACATCGTTCTGCCTCAGAAAATGAACAACTGCCCAGGTGCAGCCTGCAGGGGGTTCAAGACTAAAACAAAGAATCAAGGGTGAGATGCATCCAAGCGCAAGTAGCCCATGCTCGGGCGGCATGTCACAAGACAGTTTCAATCTGCTAAGCAAGCCCATGTTCTGTTCGCTCAAGATCTTAATCCGAGACCGCACAGTGCAGCAGACAATCACTACATTGTCACCACATCTCCTTCCCACAGGCGATGACGGCACTGGCTCGTCCAGTCCATCCTCCTAAGGGTGTTCGATGACAGGCCGAAGCTATACACATGTCATCGCACGTCACTGCCAGAGCGGTCCTGCATCCCAAACTGACCCTGCAGAATCCGTCCGAGGTGATTCCTGGCGGTCGCACTGAGCGGCTGGAAATCAACCTGGGATGGAGCGGAGAAAGGCTGACAGGAAACAAAACCAAAGAAACACACACGTGCTTCCATCCTCATACTGGCGTTCTGCTCGGGAAAGACAGACAAGCAGAGCTTCAAACTGAGATCAGCGGCCATCTCGCCAGAGCTCTTTGTCTCGCGCTTCTGTGGCGGAGCTGACGGGAATCGACGAGGGTTTTCTGGCCTCTGCGAGGGCTGGTAGAGTTCTATGAATATCGATTCTGGCTCAGACCATGGGTATGGATGCAAGAGGCTGGTGTGAATCGTGAGGATGATGGCCATGCCAGATCATTGACGGGGCCGACAGTGATCGAACAGGGCGGATCTCCGAATCAGACCATCCAGGTGAATTGCTATCGATCCGGCGGCTGTCCCGGCTCCTACAAGATTCAGAACTGATCAGCTCAAGCCGAGGCGTAGGGCCTAGGAACTGGTTAAGGCGAATGTCTCATGCCGTTGCTTGGCACTCCGAGGTCCTGATTGGGAGCGTCTGCTTTTCAGACTTGGCCGGGCTGCGGCTGCGGCTGGGGCTCTCTGATGGGGTACCTTGCCGCAAGAATCTCACGTGCTGTGATGCTGTGATGCTTTAGGATGCCTTTGGAATGGGGACTACCGACTCTCATGCGACACTTTTAGCTATCCTCAGCGCCAGTGGATTGCTAATACAGTGGCAGTGACTTTCTGTCATTTGGCCGCAGCACCACAGCCTGAAAGCCTTTGCTCGTAAATGACGTCTGTTTTACTTGACAGCGGTAAACAAGCTTGGCTTTGCTGCTATGTTGCCTTTTTGATGCCTACAGACACAGGGTCTGTTTCTTATGTAGCTATGCTCTTGTGGGTATTGCCTTTGTGGCAGTTGAGTTCAGCCCCGGTCACGAACGGCAAGCTTGCCATCGTCGCTGCGCGGCAAGGGATGTGACAGCAAGGTGTCGGCCAGCTGAGTCATTCGACTGGTCGACAACCCTGCCACTTAGGAGGCCATCCCGGTACATCGGCCGTGGCAACAACCCTCAAGCCGTATGCAGACTGCTAGCTTGCGTCGAGTGTGCTTTTGCTGTTTTCCACGTGTACCTTGGTGACATCTGCTGTGTTGTGCACTGCTTTGAGATGGTGGGTGCCAAGATCTGCTGCGCTTGGTTCCGTCAATAGACCTGTCCAATCTGGGCATCTACACTGTTTGATTAGCCTTACCAGAGCTGCATGCTACCCAGATCATAGAATTGTGTAATGTAAGCCTGAGCTCCTGAGCTGAGAGGCTACGAAAAAACGACAAGGATTGCAGATGCCACAGCTTTGTAAACCAAGATTTAAAGTCCTGTGCTACAAATGGAGGGAATCGTCATACCTTCATTCTGCGCCGTCCCATTTTGGCTGCAGTTTTTGGGTGCCACCTTGGGCACTGTGAGGGACACTGTACAGCCTTTGCTGTCCCGAGCAAGCATGTAAAGCCGCATGGAAGGGACTCGTGAGCACAACCCGTAGCAACTCTCAAGCCTCAGATTTCTACTTCAGAGCTTGTGGGTCTGCATGAATGCCACCCATGAAGGTTCTGGCCTTTGCAATCGGCACAGCTGCACAAATTGACAGGCCAACGGACACTGGGCGTAGCCGTATCCGCTTCTATATCCGTATTGAGATCCAAGACAACGCTCGAGGAAGTCGCACATATTTCATCGTATTACAGATGGAAAGATGATGAACAGGAGCTTGCCTGTAGAGGGCAAAATGAACCATGCCCAGTGTCAAAACTCTCTCCCTCGGAGGACCGCAAGTCCCGCAAGTCTCAATGTATGAACGCAGACCTAACCGATAGTTCTTCCCGGAGAGCTGAAGCGACATCGCAATAGCCGAAAGTGGTACATCTGGCCGATCTTTCACGGAGCCCTTACAAGTCTAGGCCCACGCCAAAACAAGGTACAACCAACGAGACCCTAAAAATCTATTGAAATCCGACCATTCATCCCTCAAGGCTTCTACTCAACACTTCCTGACTCGGGTTCAAGTCGAAGAGTTTAAGGCTTGGGGTCCATGGTGGATGCTTGTGGGCCAGGGCACCCTAAATTCACAGCTTGTGTGGCTCAGGATTAACAAGCAAGCTGAACTTGATTCAGAAAGACTGAAAGATGAAGGCCCAGCCGTTTCGCGTGGTCACCGTTTGACACAGGAAAAAGGCAAGAAACTGCATCGCTAGGAGACGAAGGACCCGAGAGAACTGCTGCAATCTTCGCCGCTGTGACTTGGTGGCGGGCACTCGGGGCTTGGCCACTGAAGGAAGCCCCTGAAAAGTCAAAGCCCGGATGCTCCTCCTGTACGAGATGCCGGGGTGGCAGAGTCCAAGAGACGCGACACAGACATGGAAGTCCGCAAGTGCGAAGACTGCGAGACACCCATTGCCTGGAATCGTTCAAGCATCAGCTTCTTGTTTATCTCCTGCTCGGAGAACATGTCCAACTGCCCATGACCTCGAAAGTTTTGCAGAGGAAGGCAGCTCTTCGTGAACAGAGCTGGCCTTTGAGCGCCGCCGCCCATGTCTCGCCCTGAGAGCGTCGTGATTGCACTCTTACAGGGCGCACTGAGACTGTGCTGCAAACGTACCTTGTGGGCTTTCTGCATCTGGATGTGTAGTTCCCCGTCCTTCGGGGCAGAGTGCAGAGCACGTTTCATGCCGGAGATTTCGGGTGCTCCCGGCCTCAATCATCCAAAACGAGCTGTCGGTTTCAACCTCGGCGACTTCCAAAGGCACTCGTGAGGCGACTCAGAGCCACTCTCGAGCTGAAGTAGGCCCACCACCAAACTAAAGGGCTCCTCGTTCAAGAAAGGCGGGTTGCCCTTGATGCCGACACGCAGGTGCCTCGGCCTCGAATCTTACCCCACAAAGGCAGACAAAGGAGGAAAATGCCTTTTCAACTCGCGGCCAGCCAAGCTGCACCAAGCAATCGGCATGTAACAATGTCGCGCTATATGAGCAACAGGAGAAGGGAGCAAAAGGCAGGGCCCCTCTCAAAGACCATGTCTTTGCATGGCTATCTCAACCAGCCTTCAGCTGGAAGAGGATGCTCATGCCATCGGAGTCTGACTAACCCTAGTCCAACCGCTGGACGGGCCGTCCTCTTGCTCTAACGACATGGCGGCCGACTCAGAAAGCCTCCAACACCAGGCACCGGAGTCGAAATCGAGCCGCGCATGATCAGGACACTGAGCCCTCTCTGGCCTGGCCGCAGAGCAAGGCGTCCTGTGCGACGTCCCAGACCGCCCGAAGCAGCGACGGGCTGTCTGCGTCTTTGCCTTCCTGCGATGGCAGAAGACATGCTTGGGTTGCGCACGAGCTGAGACCGAACCTAACCCTGGCGCCTTAGAATGTTGCAGCTGCCCCACCGTCGCATGAAGCACACGCAGCGGCAGGAACCTGATAGCATCCGAATTCGAGGGTGATGTAAAGGCCAGCAGCCAGCACAGAGAGACTGCCTAGGACCTCGAAAGTTGCACCGAGACGCGCTGCATGACACAGCTCGTGCGAGAGCTCCAAGCGTGGAGCGAAGCAGGAACAGCGCCAGCCTGGAAAGCACTCGCTGAAAAGCTCAACTGCACTGAACTGCTTCTACTCCTGCCCGTCTGAGCTTCTTTGTGGCTTAGGCAAGTGCCATCCACCAAGAGCTCACCGCTCTCAGTCAGTGGAGCATAGGCTCCGGGCCAGCCCAGTGTCGTAACACAGAGCACGGCTTTGGGCTCTCCCTGGGCAGGTAACGTCATGGGATGCTGAAGCTCTCAAGGTGACAAGATAGATCAGTTATTCGTAGTCATGGCCTCACTGTTTTCCACAAGATCTCCTTCTTTCCTCACTTGCTGGCGCACACTCGTAGCAATTCAATCAAGCGCCGATAAAACCTTTTTTTGTCCAAGGTACACCTCCTTGGCTTTGCGCCAACGCCACTCACCGGAAGCGTGTACTCTGACCATGTGGTCGCCCGTGAGGGTCAAGTACCGCATCTTCCCGAAGTGCAGGAAGAAATACTTGAACATGCCCTGGTGCAAGCTGCCAACAACGACCGAGACCAGTCAGAGTCCACAACACGACAGCACTTGAACACAAAAGCCTCCGCATCTGAGTGAAGATGTGCAATGACTTTCGACCAGCCACCAGAACGTTGCGACAGCTCGTGACCGACCTCAAAAGAAAAATCACAGAGGCTTCCAGAGGCTTCCTTCGGCCGGCTCCGGCCTCCACTTGCGAGATCAGGAGCTCCCCGAGCCGCCTCTCCCTCACTTTCGCAAAGGGAGGGAAGCAGCCTTCCTGAGGCAAAAAGGATGCAAAACGCCCCCAAACCCCACCCATGTTTTCTCTCGGCCTCGGAGAAGTGCGACGACACTGCCAGTTTGCACGGCTCTTCGAACTCGGCTCGTCTGTCGCCAAACTTCTTTTCGCATTCCTTAGAGAATCCAATTCGCTCTTTCTGCTTCCTGCGATTTCCTGCGGGTTTTGAGGGTCCCCCCCCTCTACAATCTCGCACTCACTCAACACAAGCGGCCTTTTTGGAATGATGGGACGATGTCCGAAAGCCTAAGCAGAAGCCTCCAGGCTCCAGGGACAGCAGTCCCACTCCACCCTTTAAGGGCGGGCGGGTGGGAAAATGAAATCAACTGGCTGCACAAGCTGTCGACAGCAGCCCACCTCTAACCACACAAACACGATCGGACTGCTGGACAGCTGTACACACACAACTATATAGAAGACGTTCGCGCGAGATAGAGAGAGTCGCAGTCACGTGAAATAACTGCGCAACCTCTACAATCTCGCACTCACTCAACACAAGCGGCCTTTTTGGAATGATGGGACGATGTCCGAAAGCCTAAGCAGAAGCCTCCAGGCTCCAGGGACAGCAGTCCCACTCCACCCAACAACGCCTGCTGTCCCTGCTATGTCCCAGCCGCTAACACTACATCCCCTGCGAAGCCGCGGCTGGTATGACCGACGCAGCTCACATGAGGCAAAAGGACGCGAGAAACGACTACCTGGACTACCTGTCAAAGACACTTGGGTCCTCCGGACATGAAGTCTCTCCATGGCCCAAACACATCCTTGACACTGATCTCCACTCTGTTATGGTTCGGAAAGGCAGATTCGATAGCTTGGTCCAAAGGCTGCGAAGCGCAATTCATGCGACTGAGGTAGTCAGCTTCCACATTACGCGCCCCGGCGATGTGCGAAAGTGAGAGGTCGCATTTCATCCGCAGACAGGCAAAGCGTGACCAGCGCACAGCACATCGGTGGCTTGCTGGCCAAACCTTTGGAAACCGATGCCACCACTCCCATGTTATCACTGTATTGTCGCAGCACCGCCCGGTACGCACATAGCAGGCTGCAGACTTTGGCCCGTGCGATCATGAGTGCCAGTTGGGCCACCATCTCAAGGGAACCAATGCCAGCCTGCATACGCTGAGGCCACATCCACTCCTCAGGAATATCCTCACGCTTAAGTCCCAAATGAAACCAATGGCGCTTACCAGACGCTGCTTGAAACCAGCCGCCAATTCCCGCTAGACAGCTACTAGCCCAAGCATCCGCAAAGCCATTGAGGACCTCATGAGAATGTGCCCAACCAAACGAGTTCTGGCTGAAGAAGTGCTTGAGAATTCGAATGCTGGACAAGCAAGCCGCGTCCAGATTTGTAGTAGGGCCCCAGGAGTGGAAGCGCAACCAGCACTTCCCATTTTTGAGCTTCGGTTGCTTCAGCGCGGCATCCAAGCATTCCCGGCTCACAGCCCGGCCTCCAACTTCACGCAGCATCCAACCAGCCTGCACGTCTGAGCCCTGAGCCGACTTACACACACGCAAAGAGGTCCTGTCAAGAAGTCCAGCGAGCTCTGCTAATTGCCCCGGATGTAAAAGCTGTAGCTTTCCAGTTGGACGATGAAGCGCTGTGAATAGAGGGGCTAGAAAAGCGCGCAGAGGCAGCCTAATCTGGGTAGCCCAGATAAGCAGGCCCAAAATCCCGGACAGTTCTTTCCTCCCAATCTTTTTCGGATGCTGCAGCCACCAGTTCAAGGCAGCCAAAATCCGCGTCTTTTTGCATTCCAAAATTTTGGCTTTGAAGACACCGTCCACACTTAGAGCCCAGCCCAGATACTCCAACGACAAACCCAGACGCAGCTTTCTCCAAGACAGTGGCACATTGAGAACCTGCGCAAGAGCGATTAAGATCGCTATCAAGGGCAAGCACGCATGACGTGGTAGTAGAAATAGGAAGTCATCCACGTACACGACGCCAACGTGTGGATGGCGGAGAACGAAGTGGAATATCCTCATCAGGAGAGCACCTAGCCTGCTCCACCAATACGCGGACCACTTTGCACCGAAGTGGTTCACCAGGTACACGAAGAACTGATTCAAGATGTGAAATACTGCAAAACCCACATCTTCCGGTGCAGTACGTAAGGACTTGTGCGCGCTCTTGACATCCATGCTGAACAAAACCCAATCCTCAGCCCTGGGCTCGGGAGTCTCGCGTAACCCCTTGCTGTGCAACCAAGCTGCGAACCTGCACAGAGATTCATTGACATGAAAAAGACTCGGAACCTCAGCACGCTCTTCAAACTTCGCAGCTGGACTGGCGCCCGAGGCCTTGGAGTCCCCAATTAGCCTGTCATCCTTGCCATGACGCGTAACCAAGCCCAGTTTGCCGATTGCCAAAGAACCCTCGGGAAAACGAGCTTCAACCTCACTGCGTGCGCCGGGGATGTGCTCCATGTAGCCATCCGCCACCTCCTTGTGCACTAACTCGAGCACCTTGTTCTCTTCCTTTAACGCTGACGCATGATTGCAATCGCAGAGGTACAGTTCAGGGGAGGCATCCATGAATTCGTCGTCGTCTACCCCATCACATCTTGGCCACACTCCCGAAGCCGGAACTGGTGCCCGTACACCTGTAGGCGCTCCACGAGACAAAACTGCCGGCAGATTCGAGTCCACGTCTCCCAAAGTCAAGGCAATGGACTGTAGCAAGTTGAACTTATAAGGGGTCTTATCGAAGGAAGCCAGGGCCCAATCCGTATCCACTCCCAGGGAGCTGCAAACAGCGTGCCTCATGACCACCACTTCCTCGTCTGAGAAGACGGGATCGTCAGAGGGCTCGCCCAGGCGAGACTGCAAACGTGCGCAAGTATCGCTCGGCATTGAACAGTAGATGGCCTTTCTCACACCGCCCAAGGGATCCGCTAGCGCTTCTGGCGGAGGCAACTGCCAGTCCGCTGTGCTGCATACTCCCCCGCCGTCTTTCAGGAGGATCTGGTGATATGCAACGCAATCCTTTTCGGACGCCTCCCCACGCGGCAAATGCACAGGACTGGCAACAACTTGGCGCGGTTCTAGCAAAGGGGTGGACACCGCTGGCTCACACGTGACCTCGCCCACACCAGGATCCACAACGCGGGCGAGGAGCTGTCCCTACTGTGGCCAACTTGGGGCACGCAGCTCTGCCGTGCCCGGACAGCCCACAGTTCTCGCAAGCATGTTCAAACTTGCAATCCTCGCCGAACTTGCACTTACCGACTTGGAAAGCATGGCATGTACCCTTGAACTTGCCGTCCGCATCGCGTTTTTTCAAGGCAGCGGTCCCACCTTGTCCCCATTTGCCGCCGCCTTTGGGCGCCAAGCGATCACGCAACTGCTGCTTGCCTCCTTTGCCTTTTCCTTTCACAGATGCCGAGGGACGCGGGCGTGGCTGCAGCCAAAAGTGCAACGAGTTGCGTAACACAAGAACCTCATGCAGAGCCTGGTCCAGAGTGAACTTCTTGGCCAACAGTGCATTCAGCTCCCTGCAAAGTTCAATGTCTGCTGCCTCGGCTTCGGCCAATGAGGGAGCCCGCAAGCCGGTGTCTGGGCCACCTCCCCTGGTGTAAAAGTCCAAGAATTTGCTTACTAGCTTCTTGGAGGAGGACAGATGGCACCAGCCCGTCAAAGCCCAAGCGATGCTGCGAGTCATCAGCAGCCGTTGCACACCGAACGGGGACGCAGAAGGGTCACACTCCAGCATATCCCACTGGCCCGAGGCTTCAGAAAGCAGGCTCAGGAAAGATTTCTCTTTCTTTTGCACGCCCTGCTTGAGGTTATCGCACTGAGCTTCGGTCAGCAGCTGCTTCCAAGGAATGAAGCGCAAGTCACCTTGTGACTTCTGCTGGTTTACCAGCTGGATCAACTGCTTACAGGGACGGTGTTGAACCTCCAGAACCTCGCTTGGGTAGTTCTCCTCGAACTTGCTCCAGAGATTGCTGATTTCATCAGCAGAAAGTTTGCTTCCAAGGGCGCCAGGCCAAGAGAGCAAGGCGGCGGCCGACAATGAGTCAGCACCACCTTCGGCAAGCTTCTGCGGCAGAGCTAGCTGCATATCGGTAGAGGCTTCCTTGTGTTCCCAGAGCTCGCGGAGCATTCCAGCCACAGGATGGATTTCCCAATCTCCGAGCGACAATACTCCACATGGCTGGTCCCGGGTAAGTACGGCCTCGATGAATTTTTCCAACACCTCCTCATTGCGGAATGCTTTGGTGTAGGAGGCCTTGGACACATATCCCTTGGCAATGAGCAGCTTGGCAACCGCCGCGGGCAGGCCCACATCATCCATGCACCTCTGCCAAGCCTCCTGAGCCATGTCGCAGCAAACAGAAGAGAGTACAAGTGACAAAGCTGTGCCGACACCGCACGATGTAACTGGCAAGAAGTTCCCGAGAAGTTCAGCACGCTGAATCCCCAAACATACATGCACACACAGCGCACAACCAACGGAAACTCCGCAAACGCCGCAGCGTGCACACAGCGCACTCGGCGCTCCCTTGCGCTCTATATAGGTGCCAGGTGCCCGATGCACCCACCCGAGCGCTGCATGTAACGACATGCACAACCCTGTGCAAACCTTGCACTGCACTCTCCAAAGGTGCCAAGTGCCCGATGCACCCACCCGGAGCACTGCATGTAACGACATGCAAAACTACGCAAGACCCTGCGTAGACTTACGCCGCATCACACTGCTTCACTGTTCCAAGTGCCCGAAGCTCCCACACCAGCGCAGCATGAACGACATGCAGAGCCCCTATAAGCACACTTGTCACGCCAAGCTGAGGCCCAAGCCATACCGCATGCTAAACTGCACACGAGCCTCGGCGCGCCGGCCCAAACTCAAGCGAGCGTTGGCTCAGCAATACTCACACAATTGCTAGGGCCGGGGAGCAAGCCATATGCGAGCATGGAACACGGTTCGCCCTTCCTTCCAGGGGATGCTCTGTCAGCACCTGCCAGTTTGGCTCTGTCACTGCTCGGCGCGGTGCACACGCACGTCCATAGCTGCCATCTTCAAGGAGCACCGCCGCGTGGAAGCAAAGAGACAAGTTATTCAGCAAGAACACTCCCTGCACCACGTTAGCGTTAATTGCCGGATCTGCTTCCTTCGCAACCGCCTCGTCGGCGCTGGCGCAATCATCGCTGCTACTGGAGGAGCTGGAAGAATCCACAGACTCGTCGTCAGACTCCGAATCTGTATCGTCGTGCGAAGCACGAGCTGCCCGGAAAGGACGCAAGCCTGGCACGGTCTCCTGTAACTCCGACGGCTTTACTGCGAGCGGCAGCTCAGCGACGGGGTGGCGACCTCCACGACCTTGAGCTGCCAATGGCTGCCACCCTTGTTTGACACACGTGAGAGTGGTTAACTGCGCACGCAAGGCCTGGATGACATCGTCGCGACTGTACTTTTCTACCATGGCCTCGCCAGGACACCTTGCTCGATGATGGCCCCAAATGCGTCGAGCTTCGCTACGAATCTCCAGCTGCACTGCCCAGGATAACGGCGTGGCCTTTAACGAATGCAAGGTGAAGTCAGCAACAACGTCAGGCGGAATTCCGCCAACCTGGACAAGCAACCTGCGCATCTGCCCTAAAACGAAAGTATATGAACCCCGAGACCCGGAAGGACCGGGGATCAAAAAGTCTCCATGTTGCATGTTCCGGAGCAGGAAGTCGACTGCATGTCCCCAGTCTTCATATATGCCCAGGCATAAACACCCGAAGGGCATCCCGGACTTTGAGGTTTTGGTTCTCCAACACTGACCACGCAGCACGCCATCCTTCACGCACATGTCTTGTACCAAGACCCTTTGAGCATCGGAGAAGCGGAGGGCCGACCAAAGCATGATAAGGAAAGCTGTAAGCAGCAAGGTGTCAGCGCAACCGCCACGTTTCATGCCGACGATGATGGCCCGTTCCCAGTTTGCTACTACGTACAAAGGCAATGGCACGGCCTCCTTTGCTGGAGCATGCACGCGACCAGCTTGCACCCAGGCCAACACTACAGAGCTCTTCAGCATCACCAGCAAGCCTTCGAAACCGAGGATAGCAGCCACCAGCCTCATGCTGGAGACGCAGGCCGTGGCCGAGCGACCGCTCTCCGAAAGTCCTCGGAAAAAGGCGACTAGTGTGGCCAGTTCCGGATTGTTAGGCTCCAAAGATTCGCAGCTAGTGAACTCCACCCAAATGCGCCAACCGGGTAAGTGACGACGAAGAGTGGAGGCTGCCCTGGTACGAAGCACCTGTCTCAGCGAAGGAAGCGCCTCCTTGTCCAACTTCGCGAAGAGCGGCGAAGACTTCAAAAGCGGCTCCAGCAGACTGGACCATATACTTGCCCATTTACACCAATCAGCCTCCTCATGAACCCGCGCTGACGTGGTGGTAGGCCCAGGCAATCGAAGTGCGCACTGTCGTGCCGGGTACGGTGTTGGACGCTCCTTTAACGGCAACGTGGGCACAACTAGTGGCGCCGAAACAGGAGCTGGCAGGGGCAGCATCTCTGGCCGGGTTTCCCACTTAGGCCGCTCCAAGCCGACAGGCGCACGCCAGCATCGAGGGACCAATGGCCGGTTCACGACATCCGGTAGCTTGGCCTCCTCCGGGAACGTTAGTTCCTTTGGCACCTGCAGCTTAGGCTGTTCCAGCGGCATTGCAGCAGCACACAACAGAAAGCAAAGAAAATGAAATCAACTGGCTGCACAAGCTGTCGACAGCAGCCCACCTCTAACCACACAAACACGATCGGACTGCTGGACAGCTGTACACACACAACTATATAGAAGACGTTCGCGCGAGATAGAGAGAGTCGCAGTCACGTGAAATAACTGCGCAACCTCCTGGAAGCGGCAACCCCGGCGTGCTCATGAGCCTGTGTCTGATTGAAGTTCGGAGTAAAGACATTCGAGGCGCAGCCAGAAGGTTCCGCCAACTATGGTGATGTGTCTGTGTCGTGGTCGTCGTGGGTGATCCTGGTGGTCCTCGTGATCCTGGTCGTCGTGGTCGTCTTCGTCGGACCCGTCGCAGTCGCGGCCGCCATGGTCGTAATGATCGTTGTGTTGCTTTATTACAGTCTGGGCATCGGCGCCGGCACAATTTCACTTTGCCCCTGCGTGTGTCATGCTGATCTCATACAGCAAGGTCACAAGAACGAAAAAGTCACGCTGACAACTTCTATTCCATTTCTGCAAGGGGACCCTGTTGCAGACGGCAAGATCCTGGTCGCAGTTGACCTGTGGACATCCAGAACGCATTCACAAACATGAGATGGACACGACCGGCACCAGCCTCCTGCTCCTTCAGCTCCGGAGCCTTTGGGAAGAACTTGATCGTCGTGTTGAAGAAGGAGCTTGAGGTTCTTGCACTCTTGCCTCCCAGGATCAGCACTGTCAGCTACAGCTACAACAAGGCTCGCAACAGAGCAGAGCGAGCAGAGCCTTGCCTGCTAAAAAGGCAACGGCCTCTGCGCCACGAAAGTCATTCTCAAAGGCAGCAAGAGGAGGGCGCAGCGGCATGGGACTGGAGGCCCTGACTTCGGCTTCAGATGTTTCTGGTGTTCTAGAGAGAGGTTCACTCTTTTCTTCATTGGCCTTTGCTAGATGATCAGACAGTGCAACCTGTGCCCTGTGTGTGGCACTTGAGCCTGGAACAGAACCGCAGCCTTCTCCAACAGGCGACATCAAGACGAGAAAGCTCAAACAGGATTCCAGAATGCCAGGTCTCCGACTCAATCTTGATGTCCAGATGATGCCTCAAGTCGGATACATGAAAATTGCTTTCAACACTGTGACCAGAAAGCGCGACCGGGTACCGTCGAGCGGCGCCGGGTATGATCGAGTGGCCCGAGGTATGCACTCTCATAGTGTAGAGCGTAGGCACCGAATTCGGTTTGGCATTGCCGTGTATACACGCCGTCTGCGCCGGGCTTTCATGGCCATGCTGCCTGATATGTCCGAACATGCACTATGTGATGTCGCTATGATTGTTGTCGGTGGGTAGAAAATGCTGTGTATGATTCTGTAATGCATGTATACATGAACAGTTTCCTGCATGGTACATGATATGGAATATGAAAATTGCGAGGGCTGCTCGGGCATACTCGGAACTACAACTTCTGCTGCAGATATTAAGCCTTGCACTTGGTGACGCCAGGTGGGGGCTGGATGTAGACGTGGCATTCATCTATGTTCCTGAGTGGGAAATGCAGCAACCGATGTTGCCATGGACATTAACCTGCAACGCTGAGATTGGCATGCAAATTGGACCAAGATGTCGGCTGCTCCCACTCGTAGACAGTGCGCCCGTCGTATACAAACCTCTCAGTGACAATGTTGGGATATTGCACAGGGCACGGAATGTGCGCTTTCGACTGATGACATTGCCCGCGATGCAGAAGTTTTGTGAGGACCCGTTAGGGTGCATGTGCAGGGAGGGGCTGTTCATTCCACAGCCGTGTACTTATATGCCCGCATGGGTGCGAGCTTGAAATCAGCACATGCATGGACACAAATGAAAATGATGCCCGACAGACAGGCCGTTCAAAGGAGGACCACAAGTAGGATGCGATGAGTAAGGCTGCGTCTGCTGACGCCCACGAGCTTTCTCTGTGAGCTTGCGCAACTCTGGATTGTCCTCCCAACAGTGTGCACTGTTACCCACATTGTCACGGGCCTGTAGGGTGTAGAAATCACCTCAACAAAACAGAGTGCACCATCTGCTTCACGTTGCTCGAACAGCATGCGATGTCCTCCTGCATATTGCGGTCTGATACCAGGGTGGGTTTACCAGTGATTAGCCACTCGAAAACTTCGTTGGTCTTGGGCGACATTTTACGACGTTTGTTCACTGCCCTGTGGCATCCAAGCTGGTTCTGCTCTGCACGAATTTCGTCCGATCTGAAGTATCAACATGCGCATGTCTTCATCTGAAGCCGAAAGCTGCAAAATACAAGCAAGCTGCCGTTGACACAGCGCAAGAAGGGAATGAGACATCAGCGAAGCGACATTGTTCGCTTTTTTGATGTTTTTTGGCTCCAGACCGGCGAGTCGCTCCCATGTGGCGGATGGCTGCGGTCATGTTCCCAGCGCCAGGCCTCCAGACAAAGCAGAAGCGCGCTGTTGCTGAGCTGAAACTGTTGCTCTTGGACAGGCGAGCTGCTTTCACCCTCAACGCATAAAGCTGAAAAGGCTTGCAGAGCGCGGCAGAAACCGTTCTCAACGCCCCAATCTATCTGATGATGAAAGCAAACCTTCATCGGTCTTTCTTCATGCCAAGAGCCCCAAAGCCACAAAGGTCGGGTGTTGCTCTGGCAACAAAAAACTGTAGTGACAAATGCACAAAAGGACAAACGACACGTTTTGCGAATGTGCTAGACCTAGCCCCTAAACCCCGAGTACAATCGATCTTTATGAGAAGTGCTCAACTCCCAGATGTTTAGGGATGAAGGCCGATTCGAGGTTACGTTCCATGTTGTAGAGTTCAGGAACGAAGCTTGAATCGAGGTCTGGTATTCCGATATCCCAACCTGACACCGTAGCAGCCCGTGAGAGGAAACTGTAGAAACACGAAACGTCATATCCGGAAGTGAGGTCAATAAGAACTCATTTATACCGTGGCCGGTCCAAATCGGAAAGAGGGCACGAAGAAAGACAGGGTTGTGCTCGGGCACAGGCTTATCTGTACGTATATGAATACATAACCAGACACATATATACGTGGATCGTATATGTGTATACTTGTACAGATACACATATAATCACATAGACATATATAGAACCTTATACATTTATTTACTTACTGGCTATCATATGCGCACACATTTATTCGTTTCAGAGAGGACCTTTCGTTACCGTGTATGCAGTCCTTCCTTCTGTATCTCGGGCAGAACGGCAGATCGTGACGAAAGCCAGATAGAAAGCAAGTAGCGCAGTCTCAGAGTTTGCTCAACATTGCCGATCGAAGCTGAGCTCAGGCTCGCGCGCCCGACTCTCCGCCAAAGCAGGTAGCAGGGACTCCTGAAAAGGTTCATAGTCCAATGTCAAGAGCTGCAACGGCCTACCGATGGATACGGTGAAAGCGTGGTGCTGAGCACAAGGCCACAACCCATCGCTTGTTGCAGACAGGCTCCAGGTACATGAGCGCATCCTGACACGGGTACCGGCAGGACATGGAAGGAACGTTCTCTGCGAAATTAAAACGGCTTCTTCCCGTGCTTGCTGCAGGTACCTTTGGCACTTCCGGTTTCATGATGCTTCATGCTCGCTTGCTCCCATGTCTGCCGGCTGCCAAATCCCACGATGACCGATCAGATCGACGAAAATTGAAAAACAAGATAGCCAATATGTGCTCCTTTTCAGACAAAGATCGATCTGTCCCCACCTAACTCCACCTGTTACAACGAAAAACACGAGTTTGCCCTGCGTGCATGCTTCTACGGGCTTAGCACAGGTCAACGACTCCACCAACCCACATCGAGCTTTCTTTTGGGATCGACAAAAGAACTATTTTACTCTGCTGCAAGACCCATTCGAGTCGGTCAAAGCGATCCAGAGTGAACGATTTGCGTGCCCTCTTGGCTGTTGCTCATACGAGGTCCCCCTAGTAGCTTTGTTTTGGCGCGTGTGATGCGAATGCGTCTCACCTGCCTGCCAGTCACAATGACAAAGTGACGTCGCCAGATCTGCAGCATCAAGATTCAGCTCCCGCGAACCTTCGTGAGGCCATCTCACCAGGAGCATTGTGGCACCAACACACAGCGAGGCTTTGAAATGCCACATATGCTACATGTTGCCGCTGCAAAACTACCAGGCTTTCCGAGCCTCTCTGCAAAATAGCCGCAAGCAGATCCCATGCCGCCAGCGGCTGCCTGCAGCATGGCCCGTCACTTTGCCGTCACTAGGACAGCGCGACATCTTTCTTTGCCGGCGCGGACATGTCCAAGCTCAACGGAAGCAACAACTCAAACGACCGGGCATGATCAGCCTCGTCATCAAACATGTGTTGAGGGTGACCTGGCACGTCTGGAACAAGCATGACCGGGAGATGCGATAGACAAAGGAGACGAGCACTGCAGGAGACAAGCTTCTTCACTTTGACTTGTTTACATAGGTTTGCTCTTCGCAAAAAATCTCAGCTCCCTCCCTCCAGGCCCTAGGCCCTAGGCATGAGCCGTACTGCTCTGCGCTGTGCCGGTATGATCTGAGCTGCTTCACCTCCAGAGTCTCGATGCCAACCAACATGCCAGTCTCCTCTGCCTCGCATCGCTTCTCAGCTGCGCTCAGCTCCGGCACAAGCCCGGCCCACGGCCTGATGCAACAACGCCAGGGCAAGGCCTCAGAAGTGAATGGAGGATTACACTCAGCTCCGGCTGTTCCCGGCCCCGGCAGGGGAGATCGCGGAAGCTTGTCACCGCAGTGAACCACGTTAGCAACTCTTGCAGCGACTACCATACTCCCCGGGGGCTATCTTGAAGCAAGAGAAAGGCCTTTTGGTCTCAGGCTCCAGCTCCACTGGCCCTGCATGCCAGCACTCGTGACGGCGAGATGGTACCTGGCAACTGCACTCTAACCTGTACCATCCTTCTGTCCGCCCTGTATAGTGCGCAAGCAACATATGATTGACCTGCTAACTGGACTTACAGGTCTGCTTCATTGACATGCTTAGTAGCCCTGGCCGTCTACACGCGCACCGTGCTCAGATCGTTTTCGTGCCGACTAGCCCCGGAAGGCTGCTTGTGCTTAAAAACAGGGCAAGCAGCCATTGCTCTGTGCGGTCTTGGGATGCTGTGCAGCTTCCTTCTCCGCAGAAATGCGTTCAATCGCGGCGGCTGCTTTGACCGAGCCATCCTCTTGCTGAAGCTTCGTTGCAATTCGTTGGCAAGCAGCACTGCAGCTTTGTGCTGCCAGCAAGGCTTCCTTGCAGGCCTCAATACTCGGATCCATTTCCAAAACCCGCGATCCGAGACCAGCCCTTTCCACGAAGTCTGCATGTGGTACTTGGTCAGCGAAAAGTGCGGAAAGCAGTGGGCAAACCACACACGGCGTTCCGCTTCGGAAGCTTTGCCAAAGAGTCCCTGCGCCGCCGTGGCAAACAGTAACACTGACTCTTGGCAGCAGCCAATCGAAGGGCACGTACTCTATTTCGAAGACATCCTCTGCCGTAGCCTGCCCATCACAAGGCATGGCAAAGCTGAAGTCCGTGGTCTCTGCCTGCCAATCACGCTTCGCGTCATGGCACCAGATCACACTCTTGCCCAGCTGCCTCGCCGCTGCAATGATTACCTGGTTCAGGGAGTACTATTTTGATGAAGTGTCATGTCGGGCGAAATATGCCCACATCAGCTTGCATAAGGCGTGCAGAGTGACAGAGGTGAGGTGAGAGACCAAAGTGCACACTTCCGGATGAAACAGTTCGCTGTTTCGAGGCAGGACAGCAGATCTAATGTTCCCTGCAAACATGTTGCCAGCAGGATAAAAGCCGGTCTGGTTATGGACATCCCTGTCGACGCCACTGCAGTTCAGCATCACTGCTTCGGATTCTTGGAACAAAACCCAGTGCTGGCAGCCCCCGTTCTCCCATAGCATTATATGGCCGAGTAGTTTCAATCGCTGGAATAGCAACCGAGCAGACTCGCATGTGCCTTCCAATTAAACAGGATCTCACTCTATGAAAGTGACGTCTTGTGTCGTGTAAAATGGTAAGCTGCAGTGGTTTGCCGGTGCCTTCTCCAAATTCTAAATCACCTTCTACCACCGCAGTTCGCGAAAAGACCCACATCGCATGCATCATTGCGGTGTAACTCACACATGCACCGGGACACACCCCTGCACTGAAAGTGTGCCTCGCCAAGTCTTCGGGCACCCAGGACAGAGCCAAAGGTGACAGCGATGGGCGGGAGCCCAGAGGCGTCCTTCTTCGACACGAATGCAGACAGTGCCTCCGTGGGTTGCCATCCCTCAATGCGGGGAATGAAAATGCATCCTGTGACGTCAAAGTTCTTTGGGAAGTCGAGAGGACGCGGCATGATGCTTTCACTCCACAGCCCGAGCTGAGGAAAGCTCTGAAGCTTTCCGAAAAAGGCAAACCCATCTGTGTGGTCGACGTTGGGGATTTCGAGAAGACGCTCAGATGTCCTTTGGATGAACTTGGCCTGTACCACAAATGGTATCAAGCGACGGAAGTTGTAATGGAAGTGCTTCAGCTTGTTGAGGAATCCCCATGAAGCCATCTCGTAGCCACCAGGCGGATAGGCAGAAGTTGGTGGAGAACCAAAGCCAAAGGTAAAAGTGGTTCCAATATAGCTGAGGCCAGGACGCGCCAGTGCTATACGTGCACACGCCTGCTATAGTGCGCGTGTGTGCTACAAGAGAGAGAGAGAGAGACGTGGCACAAAGAAACTCCAAATGAAGCCCTCGAAGCTGAGAAATGAAAGGTACCCGGCGTTTCGGGGTCGGTTCTTGATTGGGTGTTGCAGGGGCTTTCATGGGCAAATATACCCAAGCAGTGGCGGAGGTGGGTCTACAGATTCAGTTCCGACATTGGGACTTGCAGGGGCTCGACATCCGGTAAAGAAATCAGCAAGACACAAAACTGCACCCAACCGCTGGGGTATTGAATCTTGAAATGCGAAAACAACATGCGAGCTACAGTATGCTGCTCAAAGGCATGCACTATCAGTATCCGGTAGATGCACTGCAACTTTTGCACTGTTACATTATCACAATCACAAGGATTTCGGTCCTTGTGCCCAAATTAGGGGCGGGCCACTATACTGGTAAGGAAGGTAGAAGGATGTCGATCTTCTCAGAATCCACAAGCGCGGCCACGTCCCTCGCAGCTTCTGGGACTGCATCCTGATGGGAGACATGTATACAATGGCATGTGCGCCAAGGAGCAGCAAACAAGCAGCTGGCATCTTGAGAAACACCTTGAAACTCTGGATGTCTGTCTGTTGCATTTGCCACGCCGTCCTCCGTGTTCCAGGTCGGACCATGCTTGTCCAAGACCTTCAGGATCTCGGCAGTGTCGAGAGACCGCATTACCTTTAGCTCCTGCCCCAGGATTGCCACAGAAACGTGTCAAAGCAGCGTGGAGCAGCAACCACAGTGCCTCCTCAGACATGATGGCCGAGTCGTCTCGCCAGCGAAATCGGGTCTGCCCCACGGAAACGCATCGAACACCGTACCTCTGTGCAACAAGAGGGGAAGAGCGTGTTGAAGGATTGGCAGTGAAACAAGCTGGAAGCACACGAACTTCCAAGCTAACACGCTCCACAAACATGAGTAGCTTCCGATGAGCCTGCAGATTTCTAACACACAGAAAAGGCTTGAAACTTCTAATGTCGTCGAGTCTCGCAAGGCTGGTTAGCAGCTTGCGCAAGTAATGAGTGAATAAGCTTTACCTCACGGCTACACTAAACACTTAGCCAAGGGACGCACGTATCGAGGCTTCATGCCCCGGAGTCGCTGCGATTGTGGCCTTATGTCCTCGATCTTCCAAGGCTTTGCAGATGGGAATCGCCGGCATGACATCACCTCGGGAGCCCATGAAGAAGAACAAAACATTCTTCTTGCCGGGCTCGGCCATTGCAGGGGCGTAAAAAGCGAAAGAGAAAGCTGTCGCCCATGGCAGCTAGCCCTGCAAGCTGATCCCAGAAGGCGGCAGTGGTGTTGCTGCTACTATTGGTGCCCTCCAACTACGTCGACGTCTCACCGATCCAACCATGTCGCAGCGACTGGGTGAGAGATGGTGAAGAAGATGACTCCGAAACATCCTGCAGCTGGCATTCATGAATATGCAGATCAACGAGCGCAAAGGTGTCGCTCTGGACTGTTGCGATAGGTTCCAAGAATAGCAGTTCGGCGATGCTTTGCGTGACTGCAGAAGGACGGATACCGAGACAATTCGACTGCCCAATCCTGAGTTACAGCACTCCCCTACTCCCACAGACTGCAATGTCAATTATGCAGTTGGCCAAAATATGTTCTTGACCACCTGTACTGCTCAACAACCACACTTTCCATGCTCACGCCTGCAGAAGCTGCAAGCATTCTCGCCAGCGTCCGCACCTGGCAAAACCGTCTTGGGCAAGGAGATAAAGGGGACCGCAAGCAGATACAGTTGTTTGTGCGTCTTACAAGATCGAAAATGCTTGTCTGCTAGTGTAAACACACATCTCGTAGTCTCATGAACGCAAGTGGAATCTGCTTCGGTACACGCAAGTTGTCTTGTGCAGTGCAACATTGTCCGGAACTGAGCACCCAACGCTTCACATGCCCTCAACGCTCCGTTGTAGCTGAAGGCCTTCCATTCATCTACCACGGCATGGGCATGAGTCTTGCACATTGCTAGTGACTGCAAGTGAATGTAGTGCTCGCCCTTCCTTTCTATCACAATGCGTCCGCAGAGATTGCCTGGCCTAGTCTGTGCTGGGTTTTGCACAGGACAGTCGAGGCAAACATCTCTTGCGAACATCAACATTCGCTGCAATTACGAGGCAGCAACAGAAACTTATGCTTCAGGTTCCACTTGACGAAATGCTGTCGATGCGTCTGCCATGCTCTTAAGCCGTTCCACAAGAACAGAGCTTCGGTTTCCTACATCAAACAGTTTTCAGGGGCTTGCCGGGTAAACGAGCAAAGCTGCCATTGCAGGGGAGAGGTGAATGGAGGAAGTGGCTGACATGCACGAGTTTGCCACTTGGTGAGATGCGGGGTGGCCATGCATCTGAAATTCTCAGAAGCAAGCACTATGTGTTGTTGCTGTGCTCATCAACTTTGTGGTTCTCGGGCTTTTCCGCGACGTGATGGTTGACACCGCTGCAAGCTTGCATACTCTGACAGGCCTGCCCTCCAGCGTGTGGCCATTTGCCGCTTTACATTTTACGTGTTGGCATGGTCACGGTGTTTACACGGCATCCACGACTCCACGAGGCGCAGCCGACTGCGAGATCATCCCTGCATATCGCATGCTATTTGCAGCGCTTCACCATGAAGTCTCGCCTTCCAAAACGACCTTACGGCACAAAGAAGCTACTAGTAGTAAACTTAGATTTCAAGGCCTGAGGACAGTCCCTTCACGCAGAAGACTTGGATTCAGATCTCTGAGGATCTGCACCAAGCCCCTGACGCGACGGCACTTCATGTGACAGATGCCGGCGCTATGGTGCTGTCTATCAATGAAGCAGCACATGACTGCAAAGTCAGCCTAGAATCGACCAGCCAGCTGGATTTAAGTCCATGTTCTAGACTTTGCTTCTCGTCTCATGCATTGCAATCTATTTCGAAGCCTGGTTCTTCATTGAGCCCTCTGAACCCAATTAGGCCCCAAGCACTTGAATTTGATTTCGGGTTTCGATGTTGTCGTAGCATGGTGACGACTTGGTTTGGGTTCAGCAACACATTCTGAGTTGGGAAGATAGCCCGACAGTCCTTTGATTGACTCTTCGCTTGTGCGGGCAGTCCAAAGATGCTTTAGCATTGTCTGGACCGGCAGTATAGTCGGGATTCATTTCTGGTCGGGACTCCTGGTGATGCCACAAGTCCCCAGAACCACACTTTGCTGCATATTTCTCCCACTGCACCTGCCTGGGCTTCCAGTCGAAGTGAGTGCAGCGCTGCGAGCAATTGTATCGCGAGAGCCCACTGCCTCATGACAAGCTATGCGGAACGAGGAAGTTCTTGGCACTGATACCGGAAGAATTATTAAGAGGACTACAGGGAAGCACCAGTGTCCTGCAACTGGGCTCGGCTAGTCGAGGTAAGTGACCGATTCCTTCAGCCGTGGGTGGGGCTTGACAAGCCCTGCATCCTAGCCATTTCTCGTGGCCACAGGCAGCATCCGACCGGCCCAGAAACTTCTGAAGTGGTTGCTCATGAGGACATCAGCGCCAGTCTTCGAGGCATCGGCTCACCACAGGCAGCTGCCTCCAAAGCACCGTTCAACGACCACTGGTCCGGACCTGAGAAACGATGCGCACTTTTGTTCTTGCCAGCTCTCGTCCCGTCTGTCTCGGCTCCCTGCTCACAGCATAGTCTTTCATCGTTTGGAATGTCATGCTGGCAAGGTAGACACAGCACTGCCATGCACTGCCCGATCAAAGAAGACACATCCGACCCATCAATGAGTCGAATGTCCACTTGTATTCGCTTTGCGCTGTGCTCTGAAGAAGTTGATTGTTGCAAATCGCAGCAAGACAGAGAGAGAGAGAGAAGGAGAAGGAGAAAGAGAAAGAGAAAGAGAGAGGGGGAGAGAAAGAAAGAAAGAGAGAAAGAAGGAGAGAGAGAGAGAGAGAGAGAGAGAGAGAGAGAGAGAGAGAGTGAGGCAAAGAAGGACGGACGGACAGACTGACAAAATGACAGACTGACAAACTGACAGACAGAGACACAGGGACACACAGGGAGACCGGGAGATAGGCAGGGAACAGGGATGCAGGCAGGCAGGCAGGCAGACAGACAGACGGGCAACGGCAGCCACACGCTAGTGTGCTGACCCGAATGTTGCCATGGCATTCGACTTTCTCAGGCCGAACTTTACCAAATCCAGGTCTTTGCTGTCAGAGCCCTGTTCCCACCGGAGAATCACAAACGAGACGGAGTTGCAGTGCATGTTGCCACTGTCCGGATTGCCCACATGCAGATATCACAGCCTGAAACTGCTGAAGGTTCGGTCCAAAGATCGGTCAGCACATACAACCGATCGGTCAGCGCATACCGACATTCGGTAAGGCTTGGACATTCAAACTTGGGAGCGTCGGAAGAACCTTTGCCATTCCAACAAGGCCACAACACCCAGTATGAAAAGAAATCGGCAGCCTCTGAAACAGACACGAAACCAACGGCCTGGCTCTCCTTCATGTCTTCCAGAAGGACGAGAGAATGTTGCCATCGCCTCACTCGTTGCTTACGTGTGGATCTATTTTGATTGCGACGTCTGCTGACGGGGTGCTTCACCCTCCTGCACGCACTGATTGCCGCAGTGTAAGCCACGCTGTCGGGCGAGACCTGACTCTCCTCGACAAACAGGAAAATCAAGACTCCCCCAGTTCAGTTGGAAAGGAGCTTCGTTTCACATGAGTTGGTCTCCTTCATGTCCTCAAAGAAAAAGAGTGCCGCCTTCCACAGGCTTCTGCCCCCCAAAAAAGAAGTCAGAATGCTGTACCTGTCAGCTACGTTGAGTCTGCTCTTTGAATTGCGGATCAGTCACGTGACAGTGCGGAGCACTCTTTGCACGTCAGGTCGTAGTTGAAGCGGAGCCTGGAGATGATCCCGAGGGCCTGTCGAAACATGACTGAAGGCTCGCTTGGCTGGCACCCTCGCCCTCATGGGCCTCATCACCTTCAACTCTGGAGCTCATCAGCTTGTCGAAGGCTTGCTGCTGGCAAGGGCAAGTCCCAGAATCCCAAGCTTCGCAGCGGCTACACGCAAGGCTCCAAGCTAAGTGCCTGGCTCTCCACTCCCTGGCTGACAACCCGCCGTCCTGCAACGTCAGGCCAGAACCAGGTCGGCTTTTGCATGTGAAGCAACGAACCACACGTATGGGAACCATGATGATTAGAACAAGGTTCTTGGACATATCATGGTAGCGTCTAATGACGAATCATACGAAGATACGGCAGTACGTATTCCGACCCTGCTTATAGTCGCGCACAATCAACAGGTCCTGAACCGTCGGAACCCTCAAAATTGAACCCCAGCCACTAAACCCTAATTATGAAGCCCTGGACGAAAGACGGAACCCTTATAAAGCCAACTAAAGAAACCCTACCTATACCCTGAACATGAAGCCCTGGAATCAAAGTCATTACCTCGACACCTGGCAGCCTGAACCCCACCTAAACCTCAAACTCTAATCCCAATAATGCAAACACATAGACATGAGTGTGCAAACAATTAAGTATATACAAATATATTGTCAAAGTTGTGCCACAGCTTGTCCTAGTATCAGAATGAGAAGGAATATGAATACTCTTCGCGACAACTCGTTTTGCTTTTGTAGCAGAATCTAACCCTTTGAAAAACCCTGGACCTTGATCCTGACATGTAAGTGTGCCCGTGGCAGCTTTCAAGCCAACACCGCCGTACCCGAAGGCCCTAGAAGCCGCGTTTTCTATATAAGGGCTACTCTACTATGGTTACATAAAGGCTGGCTGAATCCAATCTGTCCGTATGTACATATATACGTGGATATACAGATGAGGATGTAGGCAGGTGGAGAGGTAGGTAGACAGAGGTAGCCCGGTAGGTCGGCAGGTGGGCAGAAACACTGAAAGAAAGGTGGACAGATTGCTTATTCAGAGGTAGACAGACATCCCGAAAACAATAGCACACTGTACAGGAGCTGGGCTTCTAGAGTACGAATTTGGTGCAAATCCTCAAACACATGCACCGAACAAAACTGAAAGCACGACATCTTCCACAGAGCACCATGACAGTAAACCCGAAAATGCAACAGTCCAGTTCAACTCAACTGTAATCCGTCCTCAAGCCATAACCGTACGACCCGTGGATTTTCAAGGGTTTGGGATGTGTGATGATATGTGTACCTTCGGTTACTGTCGGCAGACCCTACAAGTAACCCCAACCATGCTTTAGTTTGGCCCGGCACAGTTTGGTACGTTCTTTGCCAAGGCTCCTCATTTTGATCGGCCTCATCCAGCTCAGCTTGCCTCGCTTGCCTGGCAACGCACAGCAACGCAGAGATGTCAGCTGTCCCAGAGGAACGTGAAGACATGTAACTGTTGCGAGCAAGCTGCAGGACAGTGCTTTTGGGCTTCATCATCGGCGTGGAAGCGCCAAATGCCAGCTCCTCTCCAGCGCAGGCAGATTTACGACACACCTGGCATGTCCAGTTTGTTGCTAGACATATACTGATCTGGTCAGGTATCGATCTGGTGGTGTGCCGATCACACGCTTGCACCTTGGCACGTACCTTTGGCGCTGAAACCTTTAGGTGATTTTGTGCTTCGCTCGCTTCGCTCGCTTCGCTCTCGCGCCTGCGCCTTGTACTGTCTCCCAAGTGTGCTCCTGGCAGTGGCGGCATCCGGCCCTGACTGACAGGCTGACAGGTGAAAGAGAACACAAAGAGCGGCGGAGAGCGGAAGCCTGGCCTTGGCACGCAGCTATCGCCTGACAGTGGCGCACACGCAGACAAACGCTTGACTCCGTCCGCCACGTCCATGAATCATTGTGTGAGTTTCAGGCAACACAAGTGGTTTGGTGAGTCCAACTTGCTTCCTACGTAGCGCAGTGCTTGTCAACATGTCGGGCGCTGTCTTTGAAGATGCAACAGTGGCCAGCCAACTGAAAGGAACTTGCACACGTGTACCTCGCGCATCGTGGCCGCATCGACAGCGAAACCCAAGCCTGCCAGACTTGCACTTCCGAATCGTGCTCCCGCCACAGCAACAACGTCCATTTTGAGCTCATGGGGCGGTCTCGGGAGCATGGGCGTGCACCCGCATGGTTCTTGGGTGTGCAAAATTTGGGCTGCCAGGTCAACTTTGACTCTTTGGGGTCCGCGCTGGTAACACACGTTTGAACATAGCAAACACTTACGGCACTGGACCAAGGAGCCACGAGGAAGGACTTTAGGGACTTTGAGCAATGAGAAAACAAAAATGAGCACGTGACTGTGGGAGCAGGATGTCCACCCAGAAACACCCCCAGACATGTGTCGGTGGAACTCTCGCGAATAGGACAACACCAAGCGAAAGTGCTGGCACATTTACATTCAATCACGTGTCATTCGGGCCCCAGCAGGACTGTGGAAAGTTCGGGAGCCACGGAACCGCGGCACTGACACAGCCACTCCCTTTTCACTCTGAACACAGCCCATAATTGTTGCCACACCGGTTGGAGAAAAACGCATCACACCAATACAGCAAGGAATTACTACAAGCTTGCACGAGAATGTGAGCAACTCCCGAAAGATTTCCAAGTTTTTGTGCAGCATTCCAGCTTGCAGGACTTCCTTCCTAGTGCCGCTTCCGTCGAGCCTGCTACACGGGTTCCCCTTTTGATTCACAGTGCAAGGCATCAACTCGAAACTCAGCATTTTGGCTACCCTGCCTGCAAGATCAGCTACAAGCTGGCATGCCCAGCGCCTTGGATCTTGCAAAAGAACGGAAGGACCACAAACTGCGGGTGGCTGAAATGGCAACAGACTTGACGATGGCAGCTGGGTTCAGTTTGCATCTGCACATGACTCGGGGTTGCAGTGAGAATGCAGTTCAACCTTCGCACGGACCACGAGGGTCTTGGTTCGCACAGAGCAGACCGTGACAAGGCTGCTGGTGACATCCAGTGAACACTTCAACTCAGTCCGGCACCACTGATGTGCTTTGCGACAGCTGCTCAACACTTTGCGGAAACCTGGCGAAACTGGCGGAGTGTTTATTCAATGCCGGGTACAGGATTCCTTTGATCTCGTACGCACGCTGTTATGATTTTATGTCTCAGTGAGCGCGACTAGAAGCAAAAAACGGTAACAAACACGCCGAGGGTGCAAGCAACATCTGGAATCACAACTGGCTGAGAATTCCTCGGTGAAAGACTCTGAGCTGGAATCTCCTGTCACGATGATTCAAGATAGCTGGTGTTCCGAGTTCGTCCACAAGCTGCTCTTCACTCAGCACTGGGCTGGAGTAGCCAAACTGCCCATGACCATGCACCAACCTGGTTTGCTGCTATCGTGATATGTGGCACACTGCCTGCCTCTTGATAATGCTGCATCTAGCTACAGCTGCGAATGACTTGAAGTCCACATGCTGCAACCGCACACAGTCAACGAAATCCACTTCTCCAATATGCAAGTGCCTCTTCGCAAGCATACAGCACCCCGTTGAGAGCGATCTCATCTGGTAAAACCTGGCAATCATTGCTTATAGCTATTGGCGACCAAGCTAGGCAACAAAAAACGCAGTTTCCCTGCTCGTCCCTCCAGTAGCTGCGCAAGGAGAGTTGCCTGACGTTGCGGCATATCCAGGTATAACCTGACAGCATCCACCCACCTTGGCCACATGACCAGCATGTGACAGACAGCATGCTTCCGGAAAGATACTGTGAACAAACTTGACGACACGACCTCGTTGTACGGTCAACACTGAAGCACACAGCGGACTCCAGTTCATCGAGGGTCCAACTGCCGCCGGCGTGCATTCGACCGCAACACGGCTGCATAAGCCTGCAGCCAGGAGAATGATTTGCGAGCTGTTCAGATGGCAAGAATTTTCAGTCACATGCAAGCACAAACAGTCGAAAGCACAATACACCTGACAATCCGAACACAACATGCCTGACTCCTACGGCAAGCATGCAGCATGTGTATTTTCATGCCCTGATGGCATGGTTATTTTGTCCCAAGCTGTGCTGCACTGTGCTTCCTGTGTATTGTCCAGCCATCCGGAGCGTTCCACCAAGTCAACCTTCGCAAGACATCATGCATCAGTACCACTTCGTGGACAACTGCCGCAAGTTCTTGGGACGTAACTGCAGCCATGCCATCGATGCTTGGCGGCCCAACAAGCACATGTCTCCGGAGGCAGACATTTCTGCACGATAGCAGTATCTCACAACCGGACTTGCAACTTGATGTCTGGCTACATGCGACTCTGCTCACATGCAAATTTCGTGCTTCGGAAATTAATGAGACGTGAATGCATTCATGTACGATGAAAACTGAAACGACATCTTGACAAAGTTCTTTGAACCAATACAAATCCGTGGTCTCACAATCCATAACCAGTGCGACATGTTGCACTCAATGCATCGAACTGTTTCACTTCACACTCATTGCGGCACACCAAAGCAAGCACATCCGCAAACGTTTACACTATGAAAAACGACCCATCAAATCAAGTTGTTGAAATGCTGTTAGCCGTTGCCGCATTCCATTTCCCGAATCCCACTCCGTACTCTCCAACCTCCCCCGCCTTTCTCTTGCTTTCGTTTGGAGGAAAGTGAAGTTTTTACCAGGACCAGGCAAAGAAAAAACAACACGCACGCAAATCAGCGTGCGCTTTGTTTTGGTGTGATCGAGCAACAGTGCAAATTGCTTCTGCAGCAAGTTAAGCCAGTGAGCTGCGTGGATGCTTCCAACCGCTAGAGTGGCAGTGATGTAGCTGACGAGCAACCATCCGAGTTCAGCTGATCAGCAATTCTCTGACCCACAAGAGGTCCCAAGGATGAGGGTTGTGGCGTGCCACTTCTTCATGTAGGCCAAGCACTCGCTTCCAAAATCCCGGATAGCGCGGACCACGCGCTGCCAGCAAATAAAAAACTCGTTTTTCCGTTTTCACTTTCCAATCTGACTCAAACCTGTGTCTTGTCGCCGAACCAGTGCTTCAGTTGGAACAA